TGGAGGGCAGTACCTGGGCCCTCGTGGAGGGCAGTACCTGGGCCCTCGTGGAGGGCAGTACCTGGGCCCTCGTGGAGGGCAGTACCTGGGCCCTCCACAAGGGTCCAGCAGTACCTGGCCAGGGCTTGCAGAGTCAAGCAGCAGCAGTATTGGGAACCAGCTGTGTAAATCAGGCGCCACGACAGCCTGAACTAGACGAGGGGCTTTGCTGAGCTTACAGGCTGCCTGTTATGTCTGAGGAAGCTTAAGAAGACATGGACATAACTCTGAAGTTGCTTGGGCTTGGCTATTTTTTCTTTTAACAAAAAAAAAAATCATACTTTGTCAAATGATGAAAAAGAGAGCCATTGTGCATTTAAAAAAAATGTTTAAAAGAATTTTAAAAAAACTGCAAATAACAGGCTGGTTGAGCAAACTTGGGTCGCCTCCTTTAGTTCAGAGCGGGTGTCTGGAGGGGGCAGAGGCCACACAGGCTACCAGGAACCAGTTGATTAGTGGACACCCAGACGTGAAGCGCAAACAAACCTCCAGTTCGACTCCTGGCTCTGATTTTTACTAGCTGCATGCCTGGGAGCGCATCTCTTAATTCCTCTTAGGAGTATTTTCCTCCTTGCAAGCTCATGGGATCCGGTTGTGATTAAATGAGCTAATGACTGTGAGCGAGCTTGGCAGTACCCGGCGTGCTCCCGCCAGCGTGTTCACAGCACGCACAGGGCTGCCGTGCCAGGACCGCGACCCAGAACTCTCCTTCCCCACACAAGTGTGAATACAGCCTGGCCGGCCTTTCAATTTTCTGCCTCAGTCAGGCATCTTGGGATCCCGTAATCACACGCGGCGTTGGTTTCACTACAGGTAAAGCTCCGAATGGTACTTGAAGGGAGACGTGATGTTGGGGCATTCCTCTTCCCTCTAACCAAAACTTAGGCTGGCATGCCGGAGGTGCCGGTGAGTTCAGCCATCCGCAGAAGTGTGTGTTGTGTCTTCGCTCCTTTGCGTCTCGGACCCCAGGCTGTTCTAGGCCACCATGCCTGAGTAAACAGCCACTTGTGTGATTCATCAAGTTTCCTTAAACACCACCACCCCAGAGACAGTGGACAGGGCATTGTGGAGAAAAGAACCTGGGAGGGTAGAAGCCAGAGCTAAGAGACCTGTTTAAAGCATCAATAAAATTTTGACAGCAGCCGAGGTCATTGTCAACGTGTGCCCTGCACAGCTCTGGGCTCACCCTGGCCTCTCAGGGTGGGATCTCCGCCAGCATACTCTCAACCCAAACCTGAACCGCTGAAGAACAATTCTGGCCCAGCCCACATTTACAAATTCCCCAGTGACTTCCTTCCACGTGTGGTATTAAAACACTTCCCAGGTGATTCGGATCACCTTCCCAATTCGAGACTCCCTCCATTTCAATTAGAAATGTGGAGATAGGTGCAGACACACGCAGCCTGTGGCTCTCAGTCTGAAGGCTGCTCCGTGGCCACAGCACCGCTCTGAGGTGGGAAAACTGCCTGTTTCATCAAATCGGAAGCAGCCAGTCCTGATGCGAGCTTCTTGACCGCTGAGAAACAAGAATATCCTTAGAACCATGCAAATCAGAGGGATTACAGAGACCAGCACCGGCCATGTGAAGCCCTTTCTCAAGCACCACCCACACCCCTCACCTTTTAGTCCTATGGGAAGCCTAGTTCCTAACTCTTGCGCTTTAATGTGGCTGGCTGGAGATGGCTGAGGTGTGCTGTCAGCCAATCCCCCGGTGTTCTCTTTGCCTCCGTAACGAGCTGCTGGAAGGCAGCAGCCATCACATCTCCTCTGCCTTCCTTTGCTTCTTCATCCACACACACATGCAGGAACCAACCTCCGACAGCGGTAGGGATTTGATAAGTGGAAGCATGTTCTATTAACATGGGTGTGTACTCTCCAGGCTAGAGACATGGCTCAGCGGTTGACACCACTCGCTGCTCGTGTCGAGCCCCCGAGTTCATTTCCCAGCATCCATGTCTGGTGCTCACAGCTGCCTGTAAGTCCAGCTTCAGGAGATGTGACCTTCTCTTCTGTCCTCAGCAGCCCCTAGATACTGCGCACACCATTCACATACACACATGCTCATAATTTAAAAGAAATTTAAAAAAAAATGTCTTCCCTGAAAATGTCTGTAACTGGCTGTAATGGTAAGTTTCTCAGGTCCCACCCGGCCCGGCAGTCCTGTAGCCACTTATAATCATTCAGAGGCTTAATATTACTTATAAACTGTGTGTATGGCTTTATGGCAGGCTTCCTGCTAGCCAGCTCTTTGCTTCTCTTTGGGCAATGGCTGGGCATCTCTCCCTATTCTCCTTTCTTCTCTCCATATCTCTGCTTGGATTTCCTGCCTGCTTCCCAGCTGCCTTGCCATAAACCAAAACAGCTTTATTTATTAGCCAATTAGCAACACATATTCAAAGCATACAGAAAGACACCCCACAGCAACTGGTACTCCTGTATTGGCTCTAAATGTTGGAAGCCAACAGAAATCCATTTAATTTCCCTTTAGTACTACCTACTAAATGTGAGACCTTTTGAAACCTTGATTGATTCCATCCCTTTTTAAAAGCAAGCAGCATGCTGGGTGGAGTTATGCACACCTTTGACCCCAGCACTTGAGAGAGGGAGGCTGGTGAATCAGAAGCTCAAAGCCACCCTCATCTACACTATGAATTTGAGGCCAACCTGAGCCCTACAAGACCCTGTCTCCAATTCTCGAAAGAAAGGAAGGAAAGAAGGAAGGAAGGACAGACAAAAGAAAAGAAAGCAAGGAATAGGTTAAGGGTGTAGGATCCACTCTGAAGTAATGAAAATAACTTAGTTTGACATTGATTTATCTCATCTACTTACAGATTTTAGTTATAAGAATGAATGAGTAAAAGATAATTTACACAAACTTCTATAATCCAGATTTTTTCATGTGTTTTTATATTATTAGAAATGCGTTATAGTGTACCCAAGAACACCTCACATACACTATTGTGGTTTATTTGGGAGGAAAAGAGCAGCAACACTAAAAGAATTTCAGAAGAAATTTATTATTTAGGAGTTACCCAGCCTTGAAACTGCCAGCAATCCAGGATCCTGTGTCCTTAGAGAAATCACCTTGCAAATTCAAAACAATGAAACTAGCGATTGAGTACCAAAATTAATTAGATCACCTGCCCACTAACGCTCAACTGTGGGAACCATGCTTAGATGAGAGATGACCTCTTCCAAAAGATCCATTCATTAAAAATATATCTTAGTGCATGTCAAATTCTCTTGTAAAATAAACACTTCCAACATGGGTTAACAATCAGCTGCTTCCAAAGGAGGAAACTATCCAAAATGAAATGAAAACCATGGGCTGGAGATGAGTCTCGGTGGCACAGTGCAGGCCCTGGGTTCAGTCCTCAGCATCGGTAACAATAGCATAGGTACGCATCGCTCCAGGGCTCGGGACTGTGCACGCTGCACATGGCTCCACTCTGGTAGTGCTCTGATTCATGAGAAAACTTGGCTGAGTTTGGAAATCTCACTTACAGATAAAATAACCAATCAAATAGAAAGTGCGGCAGGCAGACTCTTGGCTAAGTCTGTCCGACATGAGTCCCATCTCCCCCCCCCCCCTGCGCCTGTGACAGCTTCTCCCTGGAGGTGTGGCTGTGCCACCCACTCAGTAATCAGTGGTGCAAAATTCAATTTATCTGTGACCTCGAGCAAACAAAATGTCCTGTCTAGAGTTCGGTCGTGTCAAGGGCCATTCTCTTACGCCTCCTCTCAGGAAACACAGAAGGGTTGTTTGTGTTGTGGGCGGAAAGGTTTTCCTGCGTGAAGGAGGAGGACCCAGATGATGCTCCTGTCAACCCCGCCCCAAGCCAGCACACAAAACAGACAGGGCTGCTACCACAGGGAGGCAAGCTTTTCTTTTATTCGGGTTCTCAGAACGAATCAGTTGGTGTCATTGTAAATAAATCCAGTGAAAACTCTCACACTGGAGCTTTTGAGCATGAGGGAAAGTGCCTGGCCGAGTCCTGAGCCAAAGCCACCTTAGATGTGCATGTGCTTACCCCCCTGTGGTCCAGGTGCATCCTTACAGCTACGGTTGACGTGGCCGTGAGGCCGTGAGGGTGGAGGGCGCGCCCTTCCTGTACGGCCTCGCTTTGCGGGCAGCGCACCTCCAAGTGCCCTGCAAACCGCGAGACCGCTTCAGGCTGGAGTGATGTGCCCGAAGCCGGGCACCTTGATGCTGGGGATGTCGTTCTTCCTGTAGAAGTCGGTCTGCACGTGGTTCACACGGCCGTAGCCTCTGTTGAGGGGCTCGATGGGCTGGTTGATGCGTTTCCCGTAGACCGAGGACATCAGCACTGGCACGGTCCTTTCCTGTTCCTGGGAAGATGAAATACGCAGTCACTGCCCTAAGCACAGAAACCTTTCTGCCCACGGTACGTCAGCACAGTGGCCCGTCCTTTCTGCGGCATCCCGCCCAGGTGGCGTCTCCTGCCCACCTGCAGCTGCAGAGCCGGGGACCCCAGACCCTCTGCTGTCACCCCGCTCTTCAGAAGAGACAGGGAGCCTCGGACTAGGCACCCGTGGTGGCCTGACTTCCTTCGGATGCTGTTCCTCCTCCTTCTGTCCCCTCCCCTGCCAGTCCCTCTTTACCCCGGCACACGGAGCCGGGACCCCAGGAGCCTTGAGCTTCCAGGCTTTCTTCTTCCCACTTAGCGCCTGTGCTTGGTCATTTTGCTGCCAGAAATCTCCAACCACCCAAGTCTCCGGGCCTCACCAGGAGTCTTTCCTGACCACTTCCCTCCCCAGAACCTCTCATCCCTTTCACTATGCCCATAATTTAAAGGTTTTTCTGTGCGTGGTGTCCATCCATGTGGAACCAGTTGTTTCTTCGCCAGAATTCAGCTGTAAGAGGACAGGAGTGTGTTTCTTGGTCCCTTTATGGTTCATAGTAGAGAGGAGAGCACCAAACAATAGGTCGTCTGAGCCACCTTCTTCTCATCAGAAAATAGGAACTTCAATACCAACTCAGAGTGCATCTGACATGAGTATGTCCTTGAAAAAGTGATTCCATGGTGCCTTGATCACTTCACTCCAACCCCCAGAGAGTAAAGAGTGGCATGCTGGCCGGAACCACTGGCCTCACACACGGGAAGTAAGCACCCGGCTGCTGTACCGCATCTCCAGACTTGGCAATCTGAATAACAGCCACAGGAAAGAACCCAGGGGCTCAGTAGCAATCCCACCCAAAGCTTGTGTACTGTGACGTCCGGGTGGTGTGCGGTCTAACAGTCTGTGTGTGCTCAGCCCCCGACCTTGAAAAATCTGCCACGTACCCTCATGCAGAATGGGGGATCATGTCAAAAGGCATGATCTGACGCAGACCAGGACAGGCACAGCCTGGAGGGGAGAGGGCACGCCAGCACCTGTCCTCTCGCTGTGACCCTGACGGGAGCCACTTCAGCCAGTTACCTCCCTTTGCAGCTGATTCCAGAAAATTCCTCCCTTTGGAGAGCACTGGGGAGATCCCAGCAAAGCTGTGTGCCACAGGGAGGGGACTTGGGGAAGACAAAGGCCAGTGTATCTAAGTGGAGGTAACAGGGCTCAGTGTGCAAGCAAGCAAGGACTCTTGCCTGTTGAAAGCACCTCCTAACTTTATTCTTCCCACATTGTTCAGTTCCCTAGAACCAATCAGAAAAAATAATGCAAAACTGGCATCACAGAACAGAAGGATCTTAACTTCTCAGCATGATAAAATAGATGCAAACCACACAAATAACGCTACATAAAGCAACGGAACACATTATCAAAAATTTGCATATGGTCACATATACATGCCTAAGCCCATATATACACGCAAAGATAAACATATAAGCACACATGTTCACACATGTGCATGTACATATACAACATACGTATGTATATGCATAGATATCTGCATGTTCTCACATGCATACAGATAAATGTGTATGAAAATGTGTGCACAGGCATGCACATACACATATATATTCAAGTTTCAATATATACACATGCTCAGGGTCACATAGACATAATACAAGTGTGTACCCAATATACATGTAAATGCATATACACACATATAGATATGTATGTATCCATGCACATATAACATGCTGTATGTGTATACACATGTATGCATGGGCACTTACACATGTGCATAGTTTTGATGGTCTATTAACATTATTAATATATCTTACCTCGTCATTAACATGAAGCCCCAGGCTTTTGGCGTGTTCTCTGTCATCTCGATGTAATTTCTGGTTATAATCTAGTCTCCTCTTAAAAACACAGTCGTAGAGGGAGATGATCCCTGTCTGAGAATAACAGAGACAGTCATGGGTGTGCTTAAAGGATGAGCCACTGGTATCTGATCCTGCACTGAAACCCACACTCAGTGGAGGAGGGTCCACACACACGGCAGACCCGGCTGTGACTGGAGAGGAGATCAGACCCCTCTGGCAAGAGCAGTGTTGTCTGTGAAGATGTGTTGCTCTCATCAGCTGAATAAAGAGCTAAATGGCCAATAGCTAGGCAGGAGGAGATATAGGCAGGAAAGCCAGACAGAGATAACTCTGGGAAGAAGAAAGGCGAGTCACCAGTCAGATGGAGAGGGACCAAGACATGCAGGAGGACAGGTAAATGTCATGAGTCGCCGGGCGGTGGTGGCTCACGCCTTTAATCCCAGCACTCGGGAGGCAGAGGCAGGCGGATCTTTGTGAGTTCGAGGCCAGCCTGGGCTACCAACTGAGTTCCAGGAAAGGCGCAAAGCTACACAGAGAAACCCTGTCTCGAAAAACCAAAAAAAAAAAAAAAAAAAAAAATGTCATGAGTCATGTGGCAACATGTAGATTGATAAAAATGGGTTAAAGTTGTAAGAGCTAGTTAATAACAAGCCTATGCTATTGGCTCAGCTTTCATAATTAATAATTAAAAGAAAAGAGCAGTGTTGTGAGGACCGAGTCTGGGTGCAGGCATTCCATGGCATCTCTCCTGGGCTCACTGGTGCTTCTCCTCCAAGGCTGCTGTGCAGAAATAATGTGGACCAAGTGCTTCATGAACAAAACGTGTTTCTCAGTTTAGAGGCTGGAAGTTCAAGGTGTGGTCAGATTCCCACCTGGGGAGGGCAGCTTTCTGCTTCACACATGACACCTTCTCTCTGCATCATCCCAAGGGAGAAAGCATGAAGGCTCACTCAGGCCTCTCATTCATGAGGACCCCACCCTCGAGGCCTGATCCCCAGAGACACACCGACTGACCACATGTCTGATTGTCTGATGGCTAGGTTTCTTACAAGGGATGAAAATATTCAGACCAGAGTCAATCTCCTCTATCTGACTAAGGAGGTGTGTGTGTGTGTGTGTGTGTGTGTGTGTGTGTGTGTGTGTGTGTGTGTGTGTGTGTGTGTGTGTTTGTGAGAGTGTGTGTGCATGTGTATGTGTGAGTGTGTGTATGGATGTGTGTTCTCATGTATGTGTTTGCCTTCATTTCTACTTTTTTATTTCTCAAAGTATCTAATACAACCTTATTCTGCTATGAAAAATCATCAGTAACTAACTGGATGCTGTGACAACATGACCCAGCAGAAGTTATACTTCAAACTGCTGGACAATCGCCAAACTGTCTATATGTAATCCCACCCTCTTGAGAGACAAAAATATTTTTTCTTAAATTCCATGGATAGCTATAGCACTTGGTAATTGATACCCATGAATATATATAATATGTCTACATATATAACATAAACATGCATCAGAGAGAGAGAGAGATAGGTGATAGATAGACAGATAGATAGATGTGCCTGCACACAGCTTAGATGTTCTGGAAGATGACCTGTTAATACAACCATTCTCTAAATATCTCTGGCTTTCCTCTTCAGACTTTTTCTTAGTCAATCAGCTTGTGTGGTATCTAGTAAAATAAATAAATCATGTGTTAGGTGTTTAATCTTCATCTCACACGTCATGCTTGGGTTTGTTGCTCTAGATGCCCTGATTCCTTCAGCGACAAAACCCAACTTGGCTTATCTGTGGGGTTCGAATTGCGCGCACCAGCTGTCTTACTTATCCTGACATGGTTTGTTCCTGATAATGATGCTAGAATGATTTCCTCTGTGGGACAGAGACACACTGGGCAGTGGAAAGAAAGGACGCACGCACACATTGAGTGGCCTGGGATACACGGTGACCCTGTTGACAGAGCGCAGGAACCAGAGGTGCTGGCACTGATGGGAATGACTAGCAGCGCGGGCTTCCAGCAATCAGGGCACTCATGGACCACACACCAAGTAGATCCGGGAGGCAGCTCACACCCGGTGGAGCCCTGATGTGACTACCATCCAGTGAGGGAGGCAACGTGGTTTTTAAGAATCTCTGTTCCAGATGTGTGAGAATTTTACCAGCAGTGTGCTGTGCAGGGAGGGAGCTCTCACCCACTGGGAGGGTCCCAGCTGGACTGAACTCAGACAGCCCATGTCTGCCACTAGGGGCTGTGTTTTCTGTCTGCACCACTGCTGGACGTTCATGTGTTTACTCCAACTGCCCGGGGTGTTGTGTCTCCTGAAGGTAACACATGGTCTAGAGGAAGGTGTTTTAAAAACTAAGTCAATGGAGAATGGGTAAATTATCGGCATTGAGTGCTGTAAAATTGGCTAGTTCCTTGTGTCTTCACATCACGCTGTAGACAAAAGTAAACTCTAGATGAAATAGGAAAATAAGAGAAAAAGAAAACCCATAAGGGGCCTCCTACACAGAAAAGCAATAAGGAAAATGTCACAAAGAAAACATCAATCACTTTGACTTGGTAAAATTAGACATTTGCTTATCAAATAAATCTAAGTTTCTTTAAAAACCCATTTTAAGGCATGACAGGGAAATCTCGGTGTCTTGAACATCCAGTGCGGATCTGCTGCTGCAGAAGCTGGTGGGCCGCCAGCCCTCACAGGCTGAGCAGAGCTTTCTGAGGGAAACAGCGAGGCCCCTTCGGCAGCACAGAGGAAGTCCAAGCATGGCATCCGCTCTGCAGGGATGGCGGGTGTAAATTCTCCCCGGGGCCGGGCCTGCCCCTCCTCAAGGGAGAATTATCCACATCCAAGCCCAGAGCTATTGGTCGAGCCTAAGCCAGGCTTGCAGCAAGACAAGTGCTGGCCCCCCCCCATACACACACACAAGAACATTTTTACACTTTTTATTTTTATTTGTGTGTATGTGTGTGCAGCTGCATAGGTGTACCCATGTACATGAAGGTGGCTGCAGAGGCCACTCGAGGGCATTGGATCCCCTTGAGTCGGAGTTCTAGGCGGCTGTGAACCACTGAACGGGAGTGGCAGAAACTGAATTCAGGTCCCTTGGAAGAGCAGCAAGCACTTCTAACTGCTGAGCCGGCTCTTGTGGTGACTTAATCTGGTGGTAGTTAGACTGCTGGTATACTCCCCGTTTTCTGCTGCCCCTCTGGAAGCCCTGGCTAACTCTGTGCTGTCTGTGGGCTTGGAGGAGATCAGCCACACTTCACAGCATGATCACTCATGTTGTGACCAAGTAGTTCCCTTCTGCACCCTGAGAACCGTATGTGAAAGTGGAAGTGAGTGGTGTTCCCCATCCCACGCCCAACAGTGCTCCCACTGGCTAACTAGCCTGCTCAGGTAAGGGGAACCTGCATGGGAAGAGGGCGAGCACCAGGAGTAAGGAAATAAATCGCTGGTATCTGCCCGGGGTGTTCTTCTTCCATGCTCTCAATCAGGCCAACCCTCCTCAGTGGAGTGGGTTCTGCTGGAGCCCTGAGCTGATCTCAGAAGACCTAAAGGCAGAAGAACAGATTCAAGAAGAAACAGAGGTGTAACCGCTGTTACCCAAACGCTCCACACCACAGGAAGCTATGGATATGCAACCTCACAGGAAAAAGAGAAAAACTCTATTGCTTTTCGTTTTAATGAGGTGGTCTAAAATTCTGGAAAGAGGAGCAGCTGAGAATCCATGCTGCCCCAAATTCCAGGGTGTCGTAAGCGCCTAGGACATGTTGATCTGGATTAGGAACGTCACTGTTTCTGGGCATAGACTGATGAGAATTGTAGATAGTGCCACCTGTTGTGTGTGTGTGCTACATATTCATAACATCCAGAGGAATAAATGAATTTTTCCATCATCGAATAATAGGAATAAAAAAATGGCAGATGGGCAGCCTCACTGAGCGAAGCCCTTATCCATCCGCAGCACCTAAGCAAAACCAAAGCATGTCTTCTATTACTGATCTTCCATCTTTTGTTCTTGCGTTCCTTTGTGGCTTGAAGCAAAATGATTTTAATAAAAGCCAATTGGGATTGAGATTCTATCACAACACAGACTTGGTGCTGCACAATTAAAATCAGCCTCAGCATCGCCTCTGTCTCTCCCTCAGCATCGCCTCTGTCTCTCCCTCAGCATCGCCTCTGTCTCTCCCTCAGCATC